CGGTCCATTCAATACCTACATTTTGGAGACCACTTAATGCGTTCTCCAGTATTTCGTTTATGACGAAATTGAACGGAAATGGTGAAAGAGGGCACCCTTGACGAACACCGCTGCTAGTTACTAATGACCTACTCAGATCGCCGTAGACCCTTACGCTACCAAAAGTATGCGAGTAGAGTGAATTCAGTATGCTCACGTGCTCCTGCGGCATTCCATTGCAAAAGAGTGAGCCCATAAGGGATTCACGATCAACTGAGTCGAAGGCTCCTTTTAGGTCAAGAAACACGACAACCGTTGTTCGACGGTGTGTATGGCGTAGCTCGAGGACTTGACGCAAAGTGAAGATCTGATCGATCCACCCGCGACCTGGTCGAAATCCTGCTTGTTGTTCGCGAATATTCGTCTCCCTAAGTGGTGCCAGACGTCGAAGTATGATGGAGACTAGTAACTCGGTGGCCGTTGGGATCAAACTTACTCCACGGTGGTTTGCGCAGTCGTTGCGAGATCCCTTCTTAACAATCGGAACATTCAGTTATTCTCTCCAAGGTGAGAGAATACGCTCATGTGACCAGATGTTACGTATTATATCAGTAATGGAGTCTACAAGGTCATCGCCTCCCATCTTGAAAAGAGTGGGAGGAAGCCCGTCAGTTCCTGCTGCTTTTCCTTTCTTAAGGGTTTGGATCCAAGATTGAACTTCTGCTGCAGTAAGAGGTTCACATGATATGGAGCCCCAACTACACCAGACGAGATAGCCTGGTTAGCGCCGGGCCAGGTAAATTGTTCGTTTAAGTACTCCGCCCACCGGTCAATCCGTTGTTCCCTAATATGAAAAGCTTTTCCACCTTTGTCGCAGATTGTTTCACTGTTGTTCGCCGACCTCCAGTGTTGCGTATCAGTTGGAACAGTCTTTGACTGTTTCCTGATGCAGCTGCGACTTCCATTTCACTAGCTCTCGTTGCCCACCAGTTCTCGCGATTTTTCTTGAGGCTATACTTTAGTTGGCGTTACAGACGCCAACTAACCCTGTCTTGATCCCTGTCGTTCGGGATTTCCCGCTTTTTCTCCATCAGTGCTACTGACTGATCAGATATCCAATGCCTCGATCGGACTACCACCTCAGATCCACAAGCAACGTTCGCTGCGGAGTGCACTGCTCGGCTACTCTGATCCGATTGTTCATTTAGACTGCCACCCCGCGGTGCGCTTAGCTCTTGTCCTGGTTTTGATTCAAAACGGGCACGACCGGCTGGGTCAGATAAGCAATGATCTGCCAATCGAGTTTGGTGGAATTTTCCGAGACCAGTGAGTTGGAGAGTGAACCGCATCAACACTAATACATGATCAGATTCAACGCAGGTGGTCCAATAGGACCTGTAGTTTTGTACTGAACCACACTATGTGGTCGACCTGGGTTAGCGTGCCAGTTGAACTTGAGCGCCGTGGCTGTCCGGTGAGAGCTGTGTCGAAAGCTGGTGCTGGATAGGAACAGATGATGGTCTGCGCAGAAATGAAGAAATCGATCGCCATTATCTGTTTTCTAACTTGAGCGCTAAAACCACCTGAGAGAACAACTGTATCGAAGCTTCGGCTCAACTGAATGAGTTCGGTAAGTTTACCATAAAACTCGTCCTTGTGTACGTTAAAACCACAGTTGGTCGGTGCATACCCTGAGATGATGAACGAACACCTTTTGGTGTTGCTTATCTTCCAGAAGCTGATGGATCCTTGAAGTCGCATCGCACATAAGCGACTGTTGACGGGGATCCAAACGAGTAGTGCGGCTTTGGTTGTGTTTTACAGTACAATGCCCACACCACGCTGGCCTACTGAACGGGCTTCGTCATCACCTGACGTGCGCAGGAAGAACCTCGAAGACAACCCCGGTGCACCTAAGTGGCTTATAGTACTAGGGTCCTGGATTCGTGTCTCCGACACGCAGCAGACATCCTTTCCCAAAGAGTCCATTGTACGCGCCAGACACGCTTGTTGACCAACCTGCATCAGAGTCCTCACGTTGAAGGCCCCCAGAACCAGTGTTTGATGAGGCTTCAGAGCCTGCAATCTATTTAGCGGTACATTACTTACCGGGCTACTTGGCGACCAAATTTGGCAAGTGACGAACAAGTTGTCGGAGGGAATGTTATGGGTTGGAAGGAAGGGCATGCGGAGAGGTCTGGGTGCTGAATACAAGGAATTAAACAAAGATTGGGATATCTGAGCAGTAGCCCACTTATCACTACCCACCCCGCTCGATGCGATGGGCAGCGCGGTCCTGATTATCCTGCGCGACGACCGATGCAGTATGGAATTATTTATTTTGTGTCTTCATTTGAGTTTGATGGACGGGTACTGCCACGGTGTCCAGCCACTAAGCAGGAGAACGATTGGGGTTCTCGTAGAAACTGTAAGGTCATGTATACTGCGCCAGTGGGCTGTGAATTCTGCTTAACGGTTGTGAGATCCCTGATTTGCGCGTGGCAGATATTCATCGTCTTCGACTGCCGATGTTTACGTAGTTTGGCGCGGGTTGGATGGAACGAGCTTGTAAACAACTCTGAGGCAATTCGTCGAGGATTTGGTAATGATTCGATGGAGAATTCGTTGTCCCATTGAATTAGGATTGGTCGGCTTCGCTCTTTGTGACACGTTTGCGCATGCCCATTTGTCGTCTGCAGCACTGCATCACACGTGGAGGTCAACAGGAGACGCGGAAACGAGGCATGAAGAAATGAACATAGCGGTTAGGTAGAGTAGGTGCCTCCCGTTTTCCAGGTTGGGATCCAAAAGACTGTAACTGACTGATTGGAGACATCAAGGGATATGACAACTAACCGACAGCAGTGGCGGTCTTGTCGTCATTTCATATCAGGTTAGAATGCTTGAAAAGTTATGCATGCACAGTTAAGGTGTGCACTTTGTGTGCTGACCACAGAGATTCACTTTTTTCGCCTCCCTGCGGTTAGGCCCAAGCCCTGTCCGTCTTGTACTTTATCACATAATTTGTGTAAATTGTGGGCTTGACAGCGATCAGTAAAGAGCGCTTCACTGTATTTCGATGTGCGATGAGGATATTTAGAATTTTTATTCAAAAGGAGACAAGCATGCAGTGAACGATCACAATCACGACTAAAGTCCAGCAAGAAACAACGTCGAATGATGGAAAATTGAGAGAGAGAGGAAGTTAGGTTAACCGGAGTGTTGGTTATGATGCGCGCGCCAAATTTGATTGAACTAAGCTGAAAAGAAGTTTCGACGACAAGGGAATTACTCAAAACTGAATCAACAAAAATAATTTCGCAAAAACTAGTATTTTATTTTTGGTGGGCAGCCTATTACAGCCAAAGCATTTCTTATATGCCAGCGCATTAAACCAGAACATACGAGTGGTTTCGAAGGTTTGATCTGGTGTCGCAAGAACAATGGGGGAAAGTAGATTAGGAAATTTCGATGGAAACGGATGTTTCAATGACGGGCACAAAATAATGTCAACCCGAATTCGGGAGATTTATGAAC